CCATGGCATCACGCTCACAGCAACCTTCAACTCCTGGGCTCAAGCGAGTCTCCTGCCTCAGCCTCCCAAGTAGCTGGGACTACAGGCACCCGCCACAGCGCCCGGCCATTTTTTGGTTGCAGCCATCATTGTTGTTTGGCGGGCCCGGGTTGGGGAATTTGAACTCGCCACCTTAGGTGTATGTGGCTGGTGCCTTAGCCGCTTGAGCCACAGGCGCCGAGCCTTGGATTCTTTATTGTATCCACAATGCCTAGCAGAGAGCTCTGTGGTCAAAAAGTGATCATACTGAAGCTACATCTTCTTAAAAACAACAGAGTTGGTACCATGGATCATGCCTATAATCCTGACACTTTGGGAGGTTGAGGTGGGAGGATCACTTGAGGTCAGAAGTTCAAAACCAGCATAGGTAACATAGCAAGACCCCATTTGTGGTGGCAGACACCTGTAGTCCCAGCTAATTGGGAGAGGCTGAGGTGGGAGGATCACTTGAGCCCAGGAGTTTGCCTGGGCAACATTCCATTATATCATAGTAACATTTTGTAAATCTTCGTTTACTTTTACTGGGTACTCAAGTTTTTCATCTAGCTAGAAGTGGGTAAGGAGGTTATATTTACTTTCCGTATTCAGACTCAACTGTTTAAAAGGCCCTATGAAATTATAATAATGAAACTAATGATTCCCAGGTAAGTTCAAGATGAATGGCAAATTTTAAAAACTAATAATTCCTTCGTTTAGCCTAAGAGACAATTCCATTCATCAGTAAACAGAATGAGAAGTCCAGAGGACGTTCCTGTGGGGATTTTCACAGATGACTGCACAACTTTGAATGATGTGAATGGCAAGGGGAACACTCTAATCAATGACAGAAGCAAAAAAGACTTCAAGGGCAACCAAAAATTAGTTTTGGAATAATCCAATACTATCCTTTCCTTTTTCCTTCATGGACAGCTCTTAATATCGAGGCCAAGGGCTGTTTGTCCTGCTGTTAACTTTTTGTAAGGGTCCTGACTTCTCTTACCTGCTTGAGACCTCAGACTATTCCTTTGACTGGTGGCCATCCCACTGTCTGGAAGATCACCCGAGAGATCCCTGGGACACACTAGTCTTAGATGTCACATTAACAGACTTCAGCAGAGGTTTGTCTTGGGACAGATTATTTAAGAATTGTTTAGAAGTAGTTAATTAATCTCACTAATCCTAAAAAGACATTAGGATTGATTTAAAAATTGGGCACTGTGGCTCAGGCCTGTAATCCTAGCACTCTGGGAGGCTAAGGCAGGTGAATTGCCTGAGCCCAGGAGTTCCAGACAAGCCTGAGCAAGAGTGAGACCCATCTCCACTAAAAATAGAAAAACTAGCTGGGCATAGTGGTACACACCTGTAGTCCCAGCTACTCGGGAGGCTGAGGCAGGAGGCTCAAGCCCAGGAGTTTAAGGTTGCTGTGAGCTATGACACCATAGCACTCTACCCAGGGCAACAGAGTAAGACTCTGTCTAAAAAAAAAAAAAAAATTAAAGTAGTATCTCTGATGTGTCTTCACAGGATATAAGAATCTCTCAAGATGAGCCACCCAGGCAAAGAGACCAAGCAAAGGAATTTTGGGTAAAGCTGGACTGTCAAAATTCTTAAAATTTTAAATGTGTGGAACTGAGCAGTCTAGCTTTACCTGAAATGACCATCCAAATTAGATCCTGCAATCATTTAAGAAAAGATGAACTACAGGCATGTTCACAGAGAGAGGTGCTTAGGGTTAAAATCCCTTTTAAAAAGGGATTTTTAATGTAATATAAAAATAATAAAAATAGCTTATTTCTATGGCGTGCTTATAAACCACAGTGAATGTGGGCAATTTATAGGATTTGGACCCAGGCGGTCCAGCCCCAGAGCCAGTTCCTATTCTGAAACACTGTCTTTCTCCTGTAGCCAAGATGAGCAAGTCCGACTTACAGAATGAAAATCACCTCCATAAAACTTTTTTCCATTTGTGTCAACTTCCTTACAGGGTAAGAGATGAGAATTGGAGAGCTACGACTATCTTTATTTCTAATGGCTTCTTGAATTTTTTTGAAGAGTAGTGGAAAATAATAAAAAGAGAAGATATCCTAGAGTGAGGCTAAGCCCAGCCCGGAGATCACTCACCACCCTGCTCATCTGTCCTCTGCCTTTCAGCCCCTCTCTCTCTGCTTTCATACAAAAGCCAATCTATGACAAATCGCCCTCCCTCCCTCCCAGCAGCCTACTGAATCGGGGATCACAGAAATAAAACATCAAAAAAAATCTGTTTTCCATTTAGACGATAGCTCCCTGCCTGAAACTGTCACTGCCCAGTGCGAGGACTCCTAAGCCCAATGAGAATCAGAGCTAAAATTAATCTCTTGACTTGGCTGTTGTCAATGGGGCTACAGGCCCAGAACATGAACATCTCTAATGCCTCAAAGCAGATTAGTCAGTTGTAAAATATGAGTGTGGAAAACATTTCCATATGTCTGCAGCCTTTTCTGGTATTTTCCCCCAAATTTAATAAATACACCCACGATTTCCCTCCCCTGCAAAGTGCAGACAGAAACTTACGTGCAGAAGGAGATGATACTTGAGAATCCGCTGAACTGGTTTCAAGAGATAGGACCCCAGAGGCAATGAGTGTTTCAGAGTTTCCTGACGTTCCCTGAAGAATTTGGCCAGTATCTTGTTTCTCATGCACTCTGTCAGCACGGCGACCGATCTGCAAGAGCGAACGTTTTTATCTAAATGGTAATGCTTTTTACATGGGGTATCCAAGGGTTTTTTTGGTTTTGTTTTGAGACAGAGTCTCACTCTGTTGTCCTGGGTGGAGTGCCATGGCATCATCATAGCTGACAGCAACCTAAAACTCTTGGACTTGAGCAATCCTCTTGTCTTAGTCTCCCCAGCAGCTGGGACTACAGGTGCCCACCACTCCTGGCTAGTTTTTCTATTTTCAGTAGAGATGAGGCCTTGCTCTTGTTCAGGTTGGTCTTGAACTCCTGAACTCAGGCAATCCACCTGCCTTGGCCTCCCAGAGTGCTAGGATTATTACAGCTGTGAGCCATCTCACCCAGCCTGCTGGAAGGAGTTTAAATTTGAAATAAGCTCTTTGGAAAGTACTTTAGTAAGTAGAGCTGGAGATACTCTTTGACCCAGGACTTTTATTACAGATAGATAGACATAGACCAATTCTTACATATATCTACTAGGTGAGGTTAGGAATAATCAGAGCTGTGTTGGGTATTCAAGTTTTATATGCCAGTTAAGTATAAATGCCTGATACAGAGCCAGGCTTTGTGCAGATTAGATCACGCATCCCTCTGGGAGGACGAGGTAGAAAAAGGCCCTGTACCCAGGGAAGGTAACACCATGGCTCGACTATTGGGCAGGAAGATATTTCCTTCTGGAACGTGCAACTTCATGCCAGGGCACATGGCTTGACTCTTGTGCAGTGCTCATCTCACAGGTCTGCGCTGTTTCCATAGGTTAGATAAGGAGGTGGCACCTTTGTATTAGGTAAAAAGAATTCCTTTCTTGCCAGTAGACTGAGCCCCCCACCAGGGCATTTGTTACCCCCTCTGCTGGTCACTTTATGTGATGCACCTTGTGGGTAGCCCTCCTTAGAGACCTCTTCCCAGGTTAAGGTCCCTCTGAGAATTTGTAAACAGATCTTCCTTTCCACCTCCAACTGGTTCTCCTTAGTCTTAACACAGTTTCTGGAAAAGACTTATTCCTGTGGAGTGGGCCTCAATGCAGGGTATTTGAAACAGAGGTCGGAACGCCTTCTCCACCCAGTTTCCCTGAGGATACCCCAAAACGTCTTAAGGGGATAGCTGAAACAAAGCTCGAGTTTCATATGTACCTAAAGCAAGCTGAGAGGCAGGTACAGTCACACACATGTACATTTATGGTTTGGCTCAGTGACCATAGCTCAGTGGTTAGGGTGCTGGCCACATGCACTGGGGCTGGAGGGTTCAAACCCAGCCCAGTCCTGCTAAACAACAATGAGAACAATAACAAAAAAATAGCCGGAGCTTTGTGGCAGGCATCTGTAGTCCCAGTTTCTTGGAAGTCTGAGGCAAAAGAATTGCTTAAGCCCAAGAATTTGAGGTTGCTGTGAGCCGTGACAGCACAGCACTCTACTGAGGGCAACATAGTGATACTCTGTTTCAGAAAAAAAACTTACGGTTTCATAATGTAGAAGCAGATGAAAATAATTTCACTTCTTTTCTACCCAAGTGAGTAATATATTTTCAGAATTAATTGGAAAAAAAATCATGTAGAACACCAAAGAACAAAATACAGTTCTGTGGAAGCAAGTTAAATGGAAGTCTTATAATTAAGCCACCAGAATCCCTTTGGGGCCCACCTGCTTTGAGAAATACCTGTGTGAATTGATTTATTTCCTCTTTGAATTGAGATTTCAAAACTCTACTACATTATATAATCTGGGAACTTTATGAATGCTCTTTAGAATCAGAATTGGCCACTCAGTAGCCGTCTGTGGGCTTGAGCTCTTGCTCAAGAATAAGGACGTGCCACACAGTCTGGTTGGGGTGGCTCACGCCTGTAATCCTAGCACCTGGGAAGCCCAGGTGGGTGGACTGCCCTGAGCTCACGGGTTCCAGACCAGCCTGAGCCAGAGTGAGATCCTTTAAAAAATAGCCAGGTGTTGTGGTGGGTGCCTGTAGTCCCAGCTACTTGGGAGGCTGAGGCAAGACAATCTCTTAAGCCCAAGAGTTTGAGGTTTCTGTGAGCTATGATGTCACAGTACTCTACGGAGGGCGACAAAATGAAATTCTGTCTTAAAAAAAGAAAAAAAAACCCCGCCACACAGTGAGTGCATCTGAGCTCTGGGTCCCAGAAGTCTGGGGCAGGGCCAGGCACCTGAGGACATTGACCTGACCAGATTGTGCCCCTCCCTAGGGGAAGTTGGGGTGGGGACTTGTGTTTCTTCACAGTAAAATCACTGGGGTGTGACTGGTATGAAGAAAGTGGACACTGGTCAGGGTGTGCCAGCACCTAATATCACCATTCAATAGCACTGTTTCCTCCAAATGGGAAGAAACTTCGTCAGATGGGCCCAGACACCTGGCACTCTATGCTGGTTAAGACAGGGAAAGGGAACCTCGGGCCTCAGAGAGCAAACTGATGGCAGACAAGGGGACAGAAGGAAATATTTCTCTATGACTACAAAAAGCGCACATGGGCCAAGAACCAGACATGGCTTCTCCCTGGAGAACATCTTCCAAGCACCTCTCTGCTAACACATTTGAATCAGGCTCAATATAAAACAAAACACCTGCCCTAGTCCCTCCAGAAAACTACCCTGAACTGTCCTCACTGGGACCGAGCCTTACCCTGGGTGTCCTTAGCTTCCTTTACACATTGCTGGGGGGCCCTAAATTAATTCCTATTCATTTATTTGGCCTTCCCTAACACGCTAGTCCACTACTACATTTAGCTGAGTTCTGACTTTCAAGAGAATATGAATGGTTTGAAGGCAAGAGGTCCCAGTTCTTATTTCCTGCCAATACACACCACTCGGCGACACAGTGCCCTGAGAATGATAGGCTCTAGGGAATTTTCTGGCCCAGAGATTTCGCCTTCTCCCTTGTCTTGGAAGTGGCCCGGCATAGAAGCAGCCTAGCAGACTTACTGTGTACTCGCCTTCGTAAGTCAGAAAATCTTCTGAATTTGTAATTTTGGAAGTTTCTATCAAGATATTATTTCTTCAAAGGATACGTTTATAATGCAATTTACACAGACACAATCCCCAGATGAGTCCATCATTTTAGATTCTGATAATCAGGTTCAAACCTTTGTTGATTCTTTGGAGTAGGAATCTTTTCGCCTTTCCTCAGGAAGCAGCTTTGTGGACTAGTGGAGGGCTAATTCTGTGATTTCTCAGAATGAGAGTGTGGTGCAAGCTGGGTTTTGGTGTAAGGACCGTGGGATTTAGTCGGGACTCCTACTGTTTCTTAGAGCTTCAGCACTGAGATGGAGAACGGCTGGAGTGAAACTATAACTGATGGCGCGTCTGCAGATAAAGATCTGTGATAAATGCTCTCATACACATGTGGAGGGTTTGTTATTTGATTTTTTTTTCTTTTTTCTTTTAGAGACAAGCATGGTTGGCCACCAGTGCAATAAATCATCATGGCAACACAATCTCAACCAACATTAAGAGCAAGAGGCTAAAATCCTGCTAACTATGTGGGAAAGGAGGAAAATAAAAAGGCCTGGATGGGGGGAGTTACAAAGCTTCAGCAAGCTTGCAAGTAGCCTGAGGCTTTAGGTTGGAGAAACCTCAGTTCAAATCCCAGTCGGGCCGTTTGTCAGCCACGTGCCCCCTGTAGAAGCAGCACTTTCCCGGTCAGAGCCTCAGTCACTTCACCTGCAGAAGGTGGATGGGGAACAGGTGGTGACAAACCAGCACCGGTGGAGGGAGAACCTCCTACGTGTCACGCCCTGGACGGTTTTTTTTGCTTTTCGTTAATTCCTCAACATCTCTTGGTTGCTGTAAAAATCAAATCCAGTGCTTTGTATTTATGTATTCCTAAGCATTTAACGTATTGCTTAGGAATTAATAAATGCCCAGTAAGTGTTTTTTGGAGACAACCAAATTCTTTTTCCTTTCTTTTTTTTTTTTTTTGAGACAGAGCCCCAAGCTGTCCCCCTGGGTAGAGTGCCGTGGCATCACAGCTCACAGCAACCTCCAACTCCTGAGCTCAAGTGATTCTCCTGCCTCCGCCTCCCTAGTAGCTGGGATTACAGGCGCCTGCCACAACGCCCGGCTATTTTTTGGTTGTAGCCGTTGTTTGGTGGTCCCGGGCTGGATTTGAACCTGCCAGCTCAGGTGTATGTGGTTGGCGCCTTAGTTGCTTGAGCCACAGGCGCCGAGCCAAGAAAACCAAATTCTTATAGCTGTGGCCCATCTCCCTTACTGAAATGGTCCATATCCTGGGCAGCCACACTCCCTCACCTGCCCTCCTGCTCTCACTCTCTGATGTACGTGAAACGGAAGTGACCAGCCAGGGGGATGACACTTTCCCCGTCTCACTGTCCCTGCCTATCAGGATCTGTCTGTTCCCCGAACTTCATAAAACCTATATAGTTTGTAAAATGTATACAGCCAACATAGAACATATTTTCTCTCCAGCAGATTATATAAGCTCACTAGCAGGATTTCCAAAATTCTTAAAAAAACATGGCGCACACAGCAAAGGCTCCAGAGACAAGGCTCACAGCCTGCTCTAACTGGCTTACTTGGTTTTCCTTGGAGATACTCAGTAATCTCTGCGGGGAGCCTTCCTGCCTGAACCAGTGTCTGGGTACCCCTGTAATCTGTTCTCAGCACATTTTGCATTCTTCCCAGAGAATTCAGCACAGGCCAGGAGCATAACGCCTATCAACCACAGACATTGGACCAAGGGACTTGAAACAGTACAAAAGTGAACAAAAATAAGCCTGCTCGTTCTGACCCATACCTGGGATAGTTAGTGCAATACTGCGTATAAATGTGGAACTCTTCACTCTGTGAAGAAACAAGAGAGATTTTTATTGGCAAAAAAGCACAGACATCAACATTCACTTTCTGGTGTGACAAGATGTTCCAGACCTTCCTGTCCATTTTCCTAACCCACACCCATTCTTCATGGAGCTCTGATTCTCTTTGGCAGGAACTAGTGTTTGGAGACCACAATCTGGGCATTAGGA